TCCCATATACCAGAGGTGACAGGTTCAAACCCACCCCCGGCCAAAAACTGCAAAAAAAAGTTTCCACCTGACTTTGGGGCTCATCCTTGTAATCCTAGCACTCTGGGAGGCCAAGGCAGGTAGATTGCTTGAGCCTAAGATCGAGACCGGCCTGAGCAAGAGTGAGACCCCATCTCTACTAGAAAAACTAAAAAAATTTTTTTTTAAAAAAGGTATTGCTAGTTTCAGAACATTGAGTTAAACATGTACCAGATATGCTTCATTAATTACATTATTCTGTTTCTTCCAAATCTTATTTTTACTTCCCTTGGTGGACTGAGAGAAGTAAATTAAAGGCTATTCCTACTTTTTGTCTTTTTCTCCTTTATTCTTCTTTGATGTGACTATTACATTTTAACTATTATATTCTCTTATGAATTATCCTCCTTAGAATTGAAAATAATCCCTCTTGATCTCTTATAAAACATTTTGGGGGGAGGGGTTGAATTTCACCTTGTGTGGTATTAAGAGCTTGACCTCTGCCCTCTTTAATTGTCACTTGCTACAGTTACTCGGCCTGTGGTTCAGTTTGCCCTTGATTGCGGGCACACCTCTCAGGTAGTCGACTATTTTAAATGCACATGGGGACAAGAGTCGAGTCTTCCTTTAATGCTTCAGTCTCTAATTTGAATAGAACTCTTTTCATATTTGTTATTATAACATTAGCTACGTCCTGGAATTCCATATTTTCATATTGTTGTGTCTTCTCCCTGTCCGACCTTTTTAAAAAAAATGTGTTGATCGTGGTTTAATTCATTTCCTTTTGCTCATGTAGGTATTTAACACCAGGATTTTTCTTTAGACATTGCTTTTGGTATCTCATAGGTCCTGATAAATCATAACTTTGTAATTTGGGCTAAAATTCTCTTAACCCAATTTGGGTTAAAATTTTTTAACCCAAAGAGTTGACAGGCCTTTTCATTTCAAAGTTTTGGTGTTTTTAGTTTTATTACATTGCAATTATACAGTGTAAATACTATTTATTTCTTTTTATATTATGAGTGTGTGTATTTGTGGTTTTAAACATAGCCAGTTTTGCTGACTG